AACAGGACCTGGAGGGCGGGGTGGAGTGAGAGCAGCCGGACACAGAAGCCCGCATGGTGCGTGATTTCACGGATGGGAAATGTCCAGAACGGGCAAATCCGCGGAGGCCGAACGCGACGGGTGGGTGCCAGCGGCCGGGGAGGTAGGAAATGGAGGGACTGCGTAAGGAACATGGGCTTTCCTTTTGGAGTGGGGTTCTGGAACTGTAGAGGTGATGGTCACTGTACCGAGTGCCACTGTACTGTGCCCTTTAAAAGGGCGAATTGTAGGTCATGTGAATTTCACCTCAGAAAATAGATCTGTAGATAATACGTGATAGATACATTGATTGATTGATGATAGCTGGATGATGCATGATCGATAGGTAATAGAGAGATGATATATACAGAGAGATGATGGATGATAGATAAAGGTAAAAGCCCTTAAAGCACCACTTTAAGCAGCCCAGGCAAGATGTGCTGACGCTTCAGATCCTGGATATGTAAGAGCGAGATTAGAAGAAAGTCAAGAAGCATGGGGGGGGGGGGGGATCAGACTCAGGGGGAGGTAGACAGGGATAGTCAAGATGACCCTTGGGCTCTGGCTGACGTGGCCAGGTGGGTGATGGCAGCCTTCGCTGAAGGAGGGCAGGTGGCGGGTGAAGATACGAGGAGCCTGGGGAGGAGGTGCTCCTCACTACGGTTGGTAGCTCAAAGAGACAAAACTTGTGGGACTAGGGGTGCCTGGGTGGCTCAGTCCACCAAGCTCTGACTTCGGCTCAGGTCATGATCTCGCGGTTCATGGGTTCTAGCCCCACATCGGGCTCTGTGCTGTCGGCACAGAGTCTGCTTCGGGTTCTCTGTCCCCCTCTCTCTGTCTCTCTCCATCTCTCTGTCTCTGTCTCTCTCTCTCTCTCTCTCTCAAAAATAAACAAACATTAAAGAAAGAACTTGTAATGCTATAGGAAAAATTGAACACGCTTCATTAATGGACATCGCAAAACTAGGGACTACACATTCTTTTCAAGTTCACCTTGAACGTTTACTAAAACTCATCACGTCCCAGGCCACAAAACGAGCTGCAACAAATACTAAAAGAATTGGTATTGTACAAATGACGTTCTCAAACTGTGAGAGAATAAAATCCTAAGTCCGTAACACAACTAAGTCCTCTCATATATTTGGAAATTTTAATGTACAAATGTAAATTTTAAAATACACTTCCACCTAACTGACTGGCGCAAGAAGAATTATAATGAAATTCTAAAAACGGAAGTGAGCAACAGCGAAAACACTACGTATGAAAACTTACGGGATGTATAGCTCGAGCAGTGCTTAGGAGGAAATGTATAGCCTTAAAGAGCTTAAGATGAGCACAACTCAGGAAGCTAGAAAAACCACGGTAGAATAAACGCTAAGAAAGCAGACCAAAGGAAATCACGGAGACAGCAGAAATTAATGAAATGGAAAAAAGAAAGATCAATAAAATGCAAAGTGTGTTCTCTGAAACTCGTAAAATAAACAAGTCTCTGGCCAGAACGGAAGGAGAGAAGTTACGAGGGAGCGTGAGCACCTGGGGAGTCCTGGCTCGACAAATCTGGTGCAAATGACACTAAGGGGATGACCAAGGTGGAAAGGAATGAACTCACCACAGAAAATGGGATGGGTGCCTACCAAGGATGTTTTAGAAGCTGGAGGACAGGTGGGAGAGTAACAGGTGATTCAGGAGACCAGAGCAAAGTTTTAAAACCGCAGGAAGAGGCAGCCAGGAGCAGGGGCTGGTTTGCGCAAGACCTGGAGGCATGAGATCTCTCAGAAGAAAATATGTGTGCATGCTCGGTCGGGAGTAGGGGGGGATTGATGGAAAATCTGTATAGGAAGCTGCTTGATCTTAAACACACTCACACACACACACACACACACACACACACACACACACACACAAAGAAGCTGCAGGGGCCTGGGTGTCTCAGTTGGTTAAGCGTCAGCCTCTTGATTTCGGCTCAGTCCTTGATCTTGTGGATGGTGAGATCGAGCCCCAAGTTGGGCTCTGCACTGACAGCGCGGGGCTTGCTTCGGATTCTCTCTCTCTCTCTCTCGATAAATAAATATTTTAAAAAAATAAAATAAAATAAAGGGGCACCTGGGTGGCGCAGTCAGTTAACCATCTGACCGGCTCAGGTCATGATCTCACTGTTCAGGGTTCCAGCCCCACCTCGGGATCTCTGCTGTCAATGCAGACCCCGCTTCGTATCTTTT